GGCCTTGGGGCTGAGCCTGGTTCCTCTGCTGCAGGTACAAGGCCATTGTGAAGTACAAGACGGCGTTTTACTCCTTCTACCTCCCCGTGGCCGCCGCCATGTACATGGTGAGCGCGGTGGGAACGGGCTCAGGAGGGGCCTCACCCCCGTGGGAGGCTGCCCAGGAGGGCACGTGCTGGAAGGCAGGTGCCAGAAGGCTTTATTCCCTTTATTCCACCCCCATCCTCAGGTTGGTATCAACAGCAAGGAGGAGCACGACAACGCCAAAGCCATCCTGCTGGAGATGGGGGAATACTTCCAGATCCAGGTGGGAGGTGGCTCTGTGCCCCTGGGGTGCTTTGCCAGGTGCTGGTTGTGGCGCTGAGGTGTTTCCATGGTGGCACAGGATGATTACCTGGACTGCTACGGGGACCCTGCCCTGACGGGGAAGGTCGGCACCGACATCCAGGACAACAAGTGCAGCTGGTTGGTGGTGGAGTGTCTGCGCCGGGTCACGCCGGAGCAGCGGCGGATCCTGGAGGTAAATCTGGGATCACAGACCCAGGAGAGGGGGGTGTGCTGCCCTAGTCCACACTTGAAGTGCCTGGGTTGTCACCCAGGAGGGGTGTGAGCAGGGTGGGAGGGCAGCGGGGAGAACAAAGCTCCTGCCTCGTCCCCGTGCAGCAGCGCCGTGAGCTGGGTCTGGGTCTGACTCGCTCCGGGTTTTCCTCAGGAGAATTATGGCTGCAAGGAGCCCGAGAAGGTGGCGAAGGTGAAGGAGCTCTACAGTGCCCTGGGCATGGAGGCGGCTTTCCGGGAGTACGAGGAGCGCAGCTACCGGCGGCTGCAGGAGCTGATCGGGCAGCACGCCCGGCGCCTGCCCCGGGACATCTTCCTCGGCCTCGCCCAGAAGATCTACAAGCGGCAGAAATGATGGGGGGGGGCCTGGCCGGGGGCTGCCGGGCCTTTGCTGAGTGGTGGGGGGGCATCACCCCCCGCCTGGAGCTGCTCCGTGCCCTGGGTGGGGCCGGAGGCGGGTTTTAGAGGGTGCGATGGGATGGCCGGGGGAGGTGGTTCATCGATCGCCCCCCCCGCCCGTGTGTGTCAATAAACATAAGTTATTGTGGGTGCGTCGCTGCCTGGTGTTGGCTGGGGACGGGGCTGGAGGGCGGGGATGGGGATGTCACCCCCCCCTCCGGCGCTTTCCGAGGTGGGGGGGGGGATGCCCGGAGCGCCGCCCCCGCCGGCGGGGCGGGGACCGGGCGGCTCCCGGCGGGCGGTGGCGGGGCCGCGGCTCCTCCCTCCCTCCCGCAGCCGCATTCGCCGCCGCAGCGCCGAGGTGAGCGGGGACGGGGCCGGGGATGGAGCCGGGATGGAGCGGGGGATGGGGACGGAGGGGGGATGGGGCGGCCGCGCCCTAGAACGCCGCTCCCTATCCCCGGGGCCGAGGGATGCTCGGCGTCGGTGGATGCCCGGGGCCCTGGATGCTCGGGGCCGTGGATGCTCGGAGCGGGCGGATGCTCGGGGTCGGCGGATGCTCGAGGCCGGTGGATGCCCGGAGCCGCCCGCCCGCGGTCTCCGCTGCCCGTTCGCTGCCCGCGGCCTCCGGCAGGTGCCCGGGGCCGGGCTCTCTCCCGGGAGGGCCGTGCCTGGCGGTTCCGCGGCGGTTCCCAGAGCCGAGGTCGCCCCAGCCCCCGCGTGCCCGCGGTGCCACCGCCCCCGGCCGGGACCCCCCACCCCGCCACGCCGAGGCTCCAAGGGCATTTTCTCCTTGACGGCATCTCCGAGATGTTCCCGATCCTCTGGAGGGAATCCAGCCCTGGAGCGGCCAGAGCTGCCCGGGATCACGCCCGGGCCATGCTCCAGGGACCAGCGGCCGGCTGCAGCTCCTGCCCAGCTGCAGAGCCCTGAGCCCCATGGGAAGTCACGGGGCAGCCCCTGTCTGGGGCCACATCCCCATCTCTGCCCCCCCCCAGACCCCAAGCTGGGCCCTGTCACAAGGTCACTGCTGTCCCTCTCACCCCAGCAGTGCATCTCCCAGGTTGTGCCACAGCATTTTCCCCTGACCCAGAGGGTGTTTGGTGCTTCCAGGGAGCTGGATGGTCTGAAGACAGAAGCTGTGGGGCTCTCCAGGGAGCCCCTGCACTCCCAGCAAGGCAGCACCATGCTGGCTCCAAAGAAAGGCCTCCTGTGCAACCTCAACCACGTCCACCTGCAGCACATCTCGCTGGGGCTGCACCTCTCCCGGCACCCCGAGCTCCAGGACACAGACGGTTCCACGGGTGGGGGAGACCAGACCGGCTGCAGCCACTGCCGGGAGAACCATGAGCCGGTGGACGCCAATTCCAACAATCCCTCCGTGAAATGCCGGTGTTGTGAGTCCCACGGCCCGGAGCCGGTGACGCTCGGGCTCCAGAACCAGGCACTGCAAGGGGATTTCCCCTGCCTGCACAGTGGGGGGGAGGAGGAAGAGGAGGAGGTGGCTTCCCCTTGTGATCCCCCTTGTGATTTGGCTTCCTCCTCCTCCTCATCCTCCTCCTCTGTCAGTAGCTGCTCCGATTTCAGCTTGGATGACTCCCCGGTCTCTGTGTACTGCAAGGGCTTCTCCATAGAAGAGTGCCAACTCCCTGAAAATCACTCCAACATCATTCCCGTAGAAAATGTCCAGGATGGCGAGTCTCTGGCTGACCAGGGTGGGACGTGTGAGGGAAGAGATGCCAACCACAACTCCCCGGTGCTCCGGACACCCAGGAAGAGCCCGGACAGCCTCTGCAGCACCAGCTCGCTCGACTCCCACTGCGACGAGCCCTCTCCGGGCACAGCAGCACAGGAGACCACCAGCCCCCGTGCTGACCTCGACCCCAACTGCAACCCCCTCCCCGAGCCCGATGCTGCGCCTCCAGCACCGCCCGTGCCGGAACGCCGGGATCCCGGGATGCCGAGCGGTGCCCCGGAGCCGCGGCCCCGGGCTGGGGGTGTCCCCCCTCCCGTGCCCCCCCGGCCCCGGCGGAGGATGCAGATGCTCAGCGGGCACCGAGCGGAGCAGCCGCGGCCGGCGGAGCCCGAGCCCGGCCCGGGTGAGCTCTGCAGAGACGCGGCCCCGAAGACCATCACCTCCTTCCACGAGCTGGCCCAGAGGAGGAAGAGGAACGCGGCCGGGCCCGCGCTGGCCCAGGCCAGGGTTGACCGCAGCGACTGGCTGATCGTGTTCTCTCCCGACACGGAGCTGCCCCCGCCCAGCGAGCTCCTCTCCAGCACCGCAGGCCAGGAGCCGGCCCGGCCCCAGCCCCAGCCCCCGCGGGACGCGCCAGCCCGGCCTCCCGGCCCCCGGCAGAGAGAGGTGACCACGTTCAAGGAGCTGCGGTCCCGCAGTGCCGCCAGGCAGCCCAAGGGCCAGCGGGCAGAGCAGGCCCAGCACCCCCCCGCGCCCCCGGGGCCGGCTCCCGGCTGGGGACCCCCCGCGCCCCCGGGGGGACCGGTGCTGGCCCCCACCGACGGCCACCAGCTGAGGAGGAGACCCCGGCCCAGCCTGCAGCCCATCGCGGAGGGGCAGCCGGGGGATGTGGAGGAGGGGGGGCTCCCCCCGGGGCAGAAGGGACCGGGTGCTGCCCTGGTCCGAAGGCTCGGGGGTCCCGGCGGGGCTCCCGCCGTGCCGGGGGCGGCCC